TTTCTAGCCTGCCAGGCAATAAAATCTCTCTGATTCTGGTTGTTTCAAGTTTTCGTTTCTGACGGGAAGTGCTTTCATAAAACGGTTTTCATGCTGGATGTCTGTGTTTCCAAAACTCAGAGTAAATCCGGATTGTTGGTTAGGAGCTCCACCTCATGGACAAACATGCAAGCTGCAGTTTATCTGTTGCCACTTTTGGTTTAGGCAAATAGAAAACGGGACCTCAGACAGGAAAAAAACTAAAGTAATTTTCTAAGGAAAAAAACACTGAAAAGTCTTTAAGGAATAAATACACATTACAAAGCTCTAGGTGTTAACAAAGTGTAAATGCATGTCCACCATGTATTATGCTTTTAAAAAAGAGATTTAATCAACATCTCAGCGTTCTCCTTTTGATAATACATCTCGCCCAGAGAGTGAAAAACAAATTCAGGACTTCTAGTTGCATATTAAATGACAAAAGTAAGAGGGTTTCCCCAGCTGAATTGGTTTTCTTACACCTTTTCAACTCTCTCAGTTTTGGAAAGCTTTCTACTGAAAGTTGCAATATACAATATAAGCAGCCAAATGTTGCACATAGAAGCAAATTATCTCTCGTTCTAAAGTTCCCATGAGACCCCAAATCTAGCACTGAGCATAAATAATATCAAAGCAGTAAGGGGATGCTAACCCTAAACCGAGCTGGGGTTTAAACAGAGCAGTCCTGCCATCCGTCACTAAAGCTCTCCACACAGCAGATCTGTCTATCAAAACAGTTGAAAAAAGCACTTCTAAAATGATTTACTTAATAATGACTCTTCTTTGGTTAACTTTTCAATCAGCTGAAAAATGCTGTAAAATTGAAATGAGGTATTGAAATGAGAAGACTTTTCAGGATAGTGGAGGGTTTGGGTTACGAGAGCCATTAAAATGTTCACTCCAGTTATACATCAATTTGTTGGTTAAATGAGAAAACAAAGACAGTTTACACAATAAAACACGTTTCCTTGCAATGCTTGTGGTTAAATGAGAAAACAAAAACAATTTACCCAATAAAACGAGTTTTCTTGCAACGCTTGATCTAACTCAGTTTTGGACTACAGTTACTGAACGCTGTAATCTAGGACACAGGCAGTGAAAAGTATCTGAGAAAAAAAGTTGCAACTAGGAGCGAATTATCATTGGTCCTAAAGTTCCTCTGGGACCCACAGTTCTAATGAAAGAAATGTCTGTCGTGTGGGAATCCTAACCCTAAACCTAGCTGGGATTTCAACTGAGCAGTTTCGTGATCAGTATCTGAAAGCCTCCGGGCATTGGACATTGACATACTGTATATCCCCAACCAAAAAGCATGAGTGTAAACCAATCAAAACCGTTGAAAAAAGCACTTCGAAAATGATCGACTCTTCTTTGGGCAATTGTTCAACTATCTGAAAAATTTTGTAAAATGGTATTGAAATGTGCTGGCATTTCAGGCCAGTGGAAGATTTGGGTTACAGGAATCATAAAATATTCACTAAAGTTGTATATTAAGCTGTGCGTTAAATGACAAAAATAAGAAAGTTTACCCACTCAAACAGGTTTTCTTGCAACCGATCTGACTCAGGTAGTCAAAACTCTCTGAAAAAAAAGTTGCAGAAAGGAGCAAATTCTCACTCGTCCTAAAGTTCCTTTGGGACCCACAATCCAGCAGCGAACATGACAAATGTCTAAGTAGTGTGTGAATGCTAAACCTAGCCCTAACCGGGGCTTCAACTGAGCAGTTTCGCGATCAGTATCTGAAGGCCTCCGGGCATCAGACTTTTACCCTTCTGTTCCTGGGGTGTCCACTGAGCATTTCTGCTAACTCTATCTGAAGTTCTCTGGGCATGGGATTTTGACATGTTAACCAAACCAAAAGGAATGAATGTGAAACAATCAAGACCACGGATAGAAGCACTTGCATTTGAATGAGTTTCAATCATGCTTGGGTACTCGTAAGATCCGACAGACTCAGTTTTGGAATACAATGGCCTCGGGGCGCATCGCGACAACCAGGAACCCCGGAGTTATTGAAAAAAAAATTTCAGTTAAGATCACGAAACCACTTTTGTTCAACTTGACTTGGGCTAAAAATCCATCCCTGAAAATAAAAATTCTCTAAGTAGTGTGTAAATGCTGATCCTTACCCTACCTGGAGTGTCCACTGAGCATTTC